GAGAGAGAGAGAGAGAGAGAGAGAGAGAGAGAGAGAGAGAGAGAGAGAGAGAGAGAGAGAGAGAGAGAGAGAGAGTGGAGATCGGGATTCTCAGCCAACCGATCAACAGGATATCGTTTCCTCGGAAAACTGCAGCGTTCTCAGACTGCAACTGTGCGGGTCATTGGACACAGCAGTACAAGGGAAATAGCGTTCCTCCCATGGAACGCCACACATAACAGGTGAACTGACTACCGCAATGAAAGCAAAAAAAGTAGGTTCGTTGATATTCCCTCATGTTTTCTTGCACGCGAGGCTGCAACGGGTCATACACGATCTGACAGAACTTTCGCGCGTGCAGGGTACACACTGGCACGAACTCGGCGCGCAGCACAGTGCTTCTCAAATGCGATTCGTTTTGGGGGCGAAAGAGAAACACACGCACACACACACGCACGCGTTGTTTGCTCATTAGCCAGAGGAGGGAATAGCAATGAACTTTCTCATTTTTAGGGCGCTGAGGCGGTCGCGGAGGAGGTCACTTGCCGAATCAGCAGCCAGAGCAGCGGGCGCTGAGGTCACGTGCCTGCCACGTGTCAGTAGCAGTAGCAATAGCAGCGGGCTCTCTCCTTTCTATGCGGTCACATGCATCCAGAAAAGTCCTAGGGTCAGTATGGTCTAATTATAATCCAAGGGGGGAAAACTCGGCAAGTCTGTTGCTTGGGGGGGGGGAGACGGGGAAGATGTGGGTGCTTCCCGACAAGGAGTATTAGTTAGAAGAGGAGGAGAAACAGGGGGGGGAGGAGGAGGAGGAGAGAGAAGAGGGGGAGGAAGAGGAAAAGGACGAGGAGGAGGAGAAAGAGGAGAGGGAGGGTAGGAGGAGGAGGAGGAGTGGGAGGAGGAGTGGGAGGAGGAGGAGAAGGAGAGGGTTAAGACGCGCCAAAGTGGAGAATTTGAATTGCCAGGACGCCCGAGAGCTTCCAAAACCCGGTTGGAAATCTGGAGAGCCAAGGGAGGCGACGGGGGAGATGTGGATGCGTCCCGACCACGATTATTAGTTAGAAGAGGAGAAGCAGGGGGAGGAGGAGGAGGAAGAAAAGGAGGAGGAAAGGAAGAGGAGAGGGAGGGGAGGAGGAGGAGAGGAAGAGGAAACGGCGAAGGAGAGGAGAAAGACGCGCCAAATAGGAGAATTTGAACCGCTACCGTCTTCACCCGAATAGAACGCCCGGTCATTGTCGCTGCATGTGGACTGAAAGTTCGGCCAAATGCAGCCATAAAGACCGGGCGTTCTATTCGGGTGAAGACGGTAGGAAGTCCGAGAGCTTCGAAAACCTGGTTCGAAATTTTGAGAGCCCTTCTATTCTCATAGTTTTGAAAAGATTATGAACTTCTCTCCAGAAAATCCTCCGGCACATAGCGAAGTGCTTAGTACTCGACAAAAGGGTGGAAAGATTATGAACTTCTCCCCGGAAAAAAAACAAAAAAGTTTTCTTTGGCACAGCTATTACCATGACCATGAGGACGAGGAGGTACGCCCTGCAGCCCAATGGTAAAATAATAAATGATAAATAAATAGTAGATGATAAGTAATAAATGATGATTGCTCCCCGTTTTCTCCAGACAGAGCAGGACTGAAATTAGTAGCCTTCTAGTCCTCGATCTCTCCACCTATCGGTTATCCTCCACGTCAGCATCATCAAATTCTATCCCCACTCCTTGTCATTATCATCATCCCACCTCCACTCCTCCTACTCCTCCTCCTCCTCCTCCTCCTCCTCCTTCTCCTCCTCCTCCTTGTCGTGGAGGTCGTCATCCTCCTCCCCCTCCACATCAACATGTTTA